CACTTCTGTGACGAACAAAGTATGATGCAAACTGGATACTTTAGGCAAAGCGAGATGTATTACATCAATGTTAGTTTGATTTCTTTAGCTCAGGAAGAAGCGTACACCTGCGCTGTCAAATAAAGGTATCAGCTTCAGCCAATGAATGAAGCAGAATGTAAAATAACAATTCACTTGGGCAAACAACATGTATTTTATAACCCTTAACCCCTGGGGGTGTACGTAAAATCATACTGAAATTGGATGATTGAGGACTCTTGAACATGAGAAAGGAGTGTAAAGTAAATTCCGAGTACCAAGTTTCAAAGTAATCAACTTAAAATCATGTAAGTTACAGGCACTATCTGTAAAAAGTGGGTACCAGCTATGTACGGTGTGTTGGACTGGTCAATCTTAGGGAGTGGGTACCAGCTATGTACGGTGTGTTGGACTGGTCAATCTTAGGGAGTGGGTACCAGCTATGTACGGTGTGTTGGACTGGTCAATCTTAGGGAGTGGGTACCAGCTATGTACAGTGTGTTGGACCGGTCAATCTTAGGGAGTGGGTAACAGCTATGAGCCAGGCCTTTCAGCATGGAGCAAATGTGATCACAATTCAATGCAGATGTGGTCAGACTTGACAATACAGATATATGAGGTTCAATTGTGTTTCAACCTTGAGCAAACCATTCCTTGAGACGGTCGGCATAATTCTCTACTAGTGCTCACTGATAAAAAAATTCCCCAACTGAATCAGGCTGATTTGGGATTATTGGCTCTGTAACAAATGAATGCATGTGATCACAATAATGCTTCTTTTTCATCACGTTTCACACTGTTCCTGTTATGACGCAAATCATGATACAAACACGATTCGAAAATGAGGCATAATTTCACTGATGGCGCAAGAGTCTGCTACGACACTACCCGTGATGTTCATCGGGCGATTCTGGTCACTCACGCCACTGTACAGAATACGGACATTGCACATGGTGAAAATGAAATGGAATCAGCAGTAAGCCACACATTTATCGACTCTGTGGAAGGGAAGACAGTACTCACTTCACAGTGTGAACAGGAGCACGAGTTATTATTGTTTCCACAACAAGGCGAGTCGGGGTCCCCACAACACGAAGTTGACGGGGACCCCCAAGAACAACAGGACTACAGGAAAGGGTTAGCAGGGAGAAAGAGCATACAAGTCAAAAGATAAGTGACGAGCAACCAGTAGAAGCCAAAGTAATTATCAATGTACGCAGCCTGGTGTTAGCCAGAGATGTGTCATGCGCATAGGCATAAATAGTTTTTTCGTAACGAGTACACTAAAAAAATAAAATTTGATAAAATATTCCCAAACTACAGTTTCATGCACTACTGACTTCAGGATGGCACACTGAATGGGTTTACATGAATTATTCCGCGTTTGAAAGCAGAAAAATAAGAGTGTGAACATACAGGATGGAGATGGAATAGTTCAATGGTGTTTGAACCTTGCACAAACCAGGCAGAGCATAGTTCTATGTTAAATAGTCAATTTGATGATATAAGATTTCCGGATTGAACCACATATTGCTAGGACTGCCAAAATATTAATTTCTGTGGTCTGGGTAATACTTCTGTATCATTATGTTTCAATGTTCACTCTCAAAAAGTTCCACACAGACTGACACAATTGCATCTTTCTGGAAACTGCAGGTCCATCAGTTTTAATTGGGGAGAACCAAAGAAAATATTATCAGGCAGTGTTGGTCAAATTCTGCTTTTGAAAAACTGGTGTTCCCAGCAGAAAATACAACCTGTGTAAAAGTATGCAGTTCTGAGACGTTCATCAAGTTATATAGATGACACGCTTTATGGTGCGTGCTCTACACAGGGGAGCATGATTACAAGTGTGGATCAACGCAAGGCAATGAGATGTTGTGCAGTGCTGTAGGAGCAGGAGGCAGGCCACAAACGCTCATGATCTCGGAAGCACGCATACTCACTTCGCATCCTTGATTGCTACAGCTGTCCCCAGTCCCACAACAGGACTACAAAACCAAAGTCAGGGTGGAGTTAGTTAAGGAAATGCAGAAGCCTATCATAGGAGAAGGGTCTTAAAACCAAACATGTACGGTACCACTTCCAGGAAATCAGAAGGAACATGTCAATGAAAGTGTTAATACTAAATAACGAGGCTGAAGTAATTCCAACAACAAAAGTTCACACACGTTAGTATTAGAAAGCCCACTGCTGGCATAGAATAACAGGTAATGCTTTGACTTAAGAAAAACATTTGTCAGACTGAGAAAATGATTGACAAAGCCATTTAACTGGACGTTCTGATCCTAATGGTATCGGAAACTTCAAAAAGGTATTCTTAGTTCTAGAGATGATTACAAAAAATAAGTTTAAAATTGAGCGTGCAATGCTTCAACATCATTCCTCAAAAGCAACAACTCACTGCCGCGTGAGTGTGGGACCAACGGTGTGCACTGTCCATTCAAGACAATCCCCTTGTATTTGGGCACCATTTCGTGGCTTTCAAAAGAATCCAGCTGCTTATTATGGAAAAGGATTTGATTCTCCGCAAATCCCACAGCTGTGATCGGGGTGAGTGAGGAACCTTGGCTTATGCGCATGTGTACACTGGTGTAGGTTATGCTATTTCTGAGTACATACATATAGGATTTACAGCCCTGAATGTCTGTGCTTTTGTCACAGCTCACTCGACCAGCCTGACTTCAAGACTCAGTGACCTGCGAGGGCTTGTGAGGACAGTGAAAACAACAACGGCACAGAGAGTTTCTAACACACAAGATCTAGCTCTGGTTAGTGTACAGTAGATAGTACCAGTATGTAAAACCTGTAGATAAGCTGCGCCTATAGCACAGTCACAGGCGTGAACGTGCTCTGTTTAGGTTAAAACGAAAAAGAAACACAGTGCGTTATGGTCAAATCAGTGCCCCGAAGATGATATAATAGGATTCCACTTGTTGTCGGGTTATGGCATGACATACCTCAAAGCCTGACGCTTCATCCCCGCAGCAGGTGTTGTTCTGACATGTCTGGCAGGACACGCATTTGGTCATACTGCACCTCTGAAAGTAGTTCATAAACATGTCCTCATGCATTAATTAACATAAATGTGTATGTTAATGTCTAAGTTTACATATGCATGTGCTGCTTGGCTGTGACCCGAGTACATTTGGAATGCCTCAAGACTGCAGACGTGGCCACAAGTCATGCATAAACATGAGGGCAGGCAATACTTCCAGCGCCTTGGAAGTTGAAATGGTTGCTTTTCCTGATTCTACCTTGTCTGTGATCTGATGGGCCTATCCAATTGGTGCATAATCCAACTTCCTAATTTAAGCATAAAATCTTATGCCTAGTAAACTTCTGTGCTAAGCAAAACTTAGTAGAGCATCAGTCACAGGATACATACGGTACATACCATTATCATTTTTACCATGCACATATTTCTTTGCTTAGCTAACTTCCAAGTTCAGTAGCTAAACAAAATTGGCCTCTGATTTTCTTGATTCTTAATTTTACAAACTCTTGAACTTCATTTGATCAGAACATCCAAAAATGAGGCAAGTTTCAATTTTATAATAATAAGACGTAAATTTGTTCTATGTGATGGGTTGTTCTTCAGATAGCATCACATTTTCCTGCAGTACCGTGAAAAAACTCTCAAAATCAAACGTAAAAGTGTAATGTGAAAGAACAGCTGATGTATATTTTAATGAGGATTAAAATAGTTTTCTTGCCACCAATTTATGGAATAGTGAGTCGGTGAGTCAGTCAGTGAGTCACTCACTCAGACAGTCGGTGAGTGAGTGTGTGAGTGTAAAAATTAATTCATACATACACGATTTGAATAAAATATGAGGTGTCAGATCAAACCAAATCCAAAACAAAAAGGAAGCCCACAGTCTTTGTGTCTTTCTACATTCCTACTTACATTATCGGGCGGACCACACACCGAATCTAAGCAGGACTTGACATTGGGGTAAGCACAGCAATTGCATCCCTCAGCGCAGGAGATCCAACAATCACAACACTGCAGACTACCATCCTCCTTCCCGCACGGGGCACAGGCCATGCATACACCTCGAGCCTATTCAAGGAAGTTGTCGGTGAAAAGAAAAAAGAAGTAATACCACATTAAGGGCCCTCAATCGGAAGTGGACATTTACACTTGCAGTGAAATGCATCCTCCAAATATACATGTATTTTGTATGGACTGTTTCATAAGTTGAAGAATGCACGTATGTTTGGAAGATCTCGGTGGCAGATCTCTGATCACTCAGACTCACCACAAGAAACTGGCGAATCACTACGAGGAGAACGATGAGAACGAGATATCCTCCAACTGCTAGGACAACAATCACCGGGACGGGTAGGGCGGGCTCACTTGGGGCAGCTGTCGTTGCCTGCAAACAAGGCACAGAAAGGCAAGTAATTCACATTTTACTGCATGTGAAATACTTGAAAAGACAATGTGTTCACAGCAGGAATACAGTGATCTATATCATGTAAAGGTTTGCAGGAATGCAATGTAGAATTGGTTAGCTTCATCTCGATCTTCCAGGGTTCTTTTTCCCTTTCATTTTACCTATTTTTATTTGTTATTTGAAACTTAGGTATTTATACTGACATACAGAGTAAGTGTTTGTCTTTTGTGAGTGGTAATTAATTAATAGTGACTTTAAACTGCTTCAAGGGCCCACAATCGTAAGCTTTTTAGTGGGTGCCTCCATGGCTTTCCCCATATTTACCGGTATAAATATGTAGTGTTTGAAAATTGACATTGTACACATGTACATGTATGCAAAACTGTGGAAATAATTGAACAATGAACAAAATATCAATACCAAAACACTTAAACAAAAAGACGTCACTTTTAATACAGAAGGGTTTGACAAATTGCATAAACACATCCAAACAATGCACACATTTTAACAAAGCATATGTTTATCAAGCAATGCTTGAACAAAAATGGAAGATGACACAGGCTTGCAACTTGGACTTTAACAAAACATGAGGAAATTCCAATCTTTACAAGACACTCAGTGTTATAGCCAGCCATATATGTACATGTATTTTAGTGCAGGACAATTTAGTAATGGCAAATGGAGGAAACGATGTGACCGGATTCACGCAGGTCATGGCCGGGGGTCCAGGGGCCCGATTGAGGGCGGGACTCTACATCATTTTTTTAGAGAGTTTTATTTCCTTTTAATTCTTACAGGTAAAATTGTGAAATTTTGACAGTGACTAATGTTTCTTCTGGGATTTTTAAGGATTCTCTAACAGTCGGTGGGCTGTTTCATCAAGCTTAGTGCTGGACGGTAAAATGCTGCGGTGGAGATCCCCGAAAGGCACCGACTGGCCTAGCTATAACACTGAAGATGCTATACAGTATTTTTCAATTTCCAATGGCATGAGTATGAAGTAAAACACAAGGACATCCGCTGATCCAGTGACAGGTACTTTTGTATGGTTTTGGTATCGGGTTCTTCTGGATCACAGCACTAAACATTCCCAAACAATTGGCAAACTATCCTTCTGAAAGGTAAACTATATCTTTCTTCAATATGAAATTTCATATCATACCCTCAAAAAAGATACTGTCCACCCACTGAAACAAAAATGACATATGACAAATTCAAAATAAAACAAAACAGACAATGACAATGCATATAAGCTACTTCAACTTACGCTGTCCATTCTACATGTTCTACAGGCGATGAAGTAAACAAAATGCTATGTGCCTTCCAAAGAACACCAGTGACCAATATAAGAATTAATCCTAATCATCTTGACGTGAGTCTTGCTTTGAGGAGAAACTCGTTCATGAAGGCCGAGGATTTCAGCAACGATAAGGAATCACCTGTTTACCAAAACATTTGGAGGGTACAAGGTTTGTTACTAACAATTTACAAATGCATCAGCACTCCAGATTCAAGGTTTTCTTTTTCCAGTACTTGGCTTGTCTCCATCTCTAGCTTTGCCTGCATTGACAACAACTGTTGACCTCCTGACCTTGAAGCTGTTAGGTAAAATGTCAGCCACATACTGCCAACAAAACATCAAACTACACTAAAGAAGTAATTTCCATTCCATTTGATGTAGAAGTAAATTCCATTCCCTTGTGCTACAAACCTACAGACATGTGCTGATCATTTATGCTGTACTTTGTATATGGTGCCCTGCCGTAGTGTGAACCGTGTCTGACTTCTGTCCTAGCCATTTTCCCTGATAGCATCACAGTGCAAGTGTCAAATATGAAAGGCCCTCCTGCCAAAAACTTTGACTTTGAGTGATGATAAACAAGCAATAGACCTAACAAAATGACGTAATGAAATGGTCCAGGGACCCCAAGTTTTTGTTGTTTTAATCTTGTAAAACTGGTCAGTCCCGCCCCCCCAAAGTTTCAAAGGTACATGTAATGCTCTCTTTATTGCGCTGAGCTTATTTTTTGGAAATTTTGAATTATAAATTGTGAAAAAATGTGACTTTTTTACTGATATTAACCCACTGTGCAAATCGGAATTCACCATGTGCCATCATGTGTTAAAACACAGTTTTCCCTCGAAACCCTGCCTCTTTTCACAACATCAACCCTACAGTTATTGAGCATGATGTCCTAGTCATCTGCCAAGGTGAATCCAAATGGTAAAATGTAGGTTTTCCGTCTATTATAAGAACAGGATCCCCAAAATGTCATGTCACAATCCCTTTGCCCAAACATGCCAGACGTGCTTGCAATAGGCCCCTCGGCCGAGGCCTGAATCATTTTGGAACAACATCCAACCAATTCTCACGGCTTGACATCAATGAGTCTTCATTCTTCTCTCCGATTGGTCAATTGTTGGCTATTCCATATTTCACACCCAAAACTCAAGGGGGCAAAAATAGTGTTGCAGTTTACAAGTCAAGGCCTTGCATGGGCATAGGCCTAATAGGAAAAAATCTGAATTATTGACTTAACTCTTCTTTTCAATGTTTACATCAAATTCAAATGCCCGAAATTTCACAATTTATGCGCCATGAATATTTCCCACACACTGTGCTGTAACGAAAAGGTTTTAGTTAGTTTTAGGGCTTATTATTGTTGCAGAAAAAAGGAGGAAAACATACAAGTCCCTGTACAAATTACAAAGTGAATGGAGAGTTGCTCTTTTGCAATTGCCCAGACGTGAGTGTAAATACATAGGGGCCTATGCAACCTCCGACCGCGAGAACACGTAGAAAACGTGAAATTGTTATGTTACCGATTTGGGCAGCTACCGTTACAGCCTCCTGATCAGCTTGATGTCAAGTACTTGATCTAAAGTACACTTGACAAACTGGAAAAAAATCTCAACTGTACAGTCATCATGACAGTAGGCATACACAGTCTACAGGAAAGCAGCGTCATCTCGCGTTCGTTGCCACCGTACAAATTTGGCCTACAGTTCTAGTTTCTGCATTCTACGGTATGCTCAGTTTGACATGGCTTTTTCGCCTCTAGAGGGCGCTGTGGCCGAACACAGGTGCATGTGACATATGCACATGCAGCACCGATACAGCCAGTCGATCCTCCAAGGTAGGCCTGGATTAGGTTTGGATTGGATTTATTCGGTATTTCCATCTCAATTAAGTCATACCGGGGATAGACCAAGAAAGTTTTGCAACTTATTTCCAGTGGGGTCCCTATAGAATTTGAAAGAACGTCCAGTTTTAAAGGCAGGAGGAATGTTTCGTGATTTCAGGATTTTTTTTATCAGGATTTTTCTGATTTGAGGATTTTTCAAATCTGGAAAATAATTTGGAAATTTACATAACAGTAACACAACAGTTATGAACCAAGTTGACACAGAACACAAGAAATAGCAAGCACATGCACAGTCGACCGTAGGCATGATAGACCGCTGATGGGCCCTCAAAACCTCTGTTGATCATTTCATCCAATCTCACCACTGTGGATTACTGTCACACTTTTGGCAGGGTGCCATGGCAACAATGGAAGAGACCAAGGATATCTGGAGAAAGGCGGATGCCGTGTGCTTTGATGTTGACAGTACAGTCAGTACTGAAGAAGCCATTGATGAACTTGCTGCGCACTGTGGTGTGGGACAAGAAGTGGCACAGTGGTAAGCTACAGGAAAAGGGTATGACCGTAACGGGAGGGTCAACACTACGTACATGGACATGCGTATCTTGCATTCAGGGAGTGGGGAGTCATGGGCAGTGCGTACATATGTACATTGACCAATAATGTAACATTGCTTTTAACAAATTGATTTTAACCTCAAAGTTCTTTCTCTAAGTTGTATCCATGGGACCAGTTTGTAGACAATGAATATGGTCTTATTGGCTGATATCTCTCCATGAATGTTCTTTTTATGTTCCTGTTACAAGCAGTGTAGTCAGCGTCACTCGTAGATTGTTTGGGTAGTCGTCTCACATTCTTTAAAAATGCACAAAAGAGAGAGAAAAGATATGCAAGAGAAATGTATCGGATAAAGGAGTCTGCATGCGTGAGTGTTGGCAAGTTAACAAGAGTCTTCTCCAAACTGATGTACATGTACATGTATGTGTAAACAAGAGACTTTGTAGTGGAAGGGGAGGGGGCTTGAAGAATCCTCCAGACACTCAGCGCCTCCTAAAAGAGGTCCTGCAAGGTCGGCCGTTTCCCAGCACTTTAAGGGCTCGGGCCCCACCGGTATGTTCAGGGGACCGGACTGCTCAATTTAACCTGTACATGTCAATTTATCATCTGACTAGTGCCCCCCTTGATGTTGATGAATGGGAAGAACAACCATGACACATGTAGGGCTGGATAAGTAGGTAGCAGGTTCAAATCCCATCAATTTCCTCTGGCATCTTTATAATTTTGTGTATCGTTTTGTTGCTTTTGGGTCCCTGCAGGACCAAGAAAGCCATGGATGGCAGCATAACCTACAAAGAAACCCTGGAGGCCAGGATGACCATCATCCACCCCACCATGGACCAAGTGAAGGCCTTCATAGACGACCACCCGCCGGCCAAGTATCTGACACCTGGGGTGACGTGAGTCACTCCGTCCAACGTCAAAGGCCCTTAGCGTGCCCTTAGCGTGAGGGTGGGGCCCTGGGGGTGAGGGGGACAGTGGCTGGTGTAGGGAAAGCGTTTCGAAGCCCAGTGGTCAGCTTCACTGACCAAAGCTCGGACTTCAATTGGCAAAACAAGTCTCCTTCTGAAATATCACACACAGTGTGTTGCTAGTGGCAAGCCTCTAATGTTTATTGGCAAGCCCAAGACTTCGCTGAGTAAACACCTCAATTATTGATGAAAAGTATCAAATGTATATTCAACAGACTGGGCAGGGTGGAGGTTACATTAATTGATGGGTCACCAATAAAAGAAATTATCCATCTTCAGTATTGTGACGTGATCTGCAAACATCCTTCATATGGTGAGCTTTGTCATTTTGGTGGATTAACTTCCAACTTGATCTGGACACTGTCCTGTTTTCAAAACTGTTTAATTCACGATTCCAGATAACCTAGATTCATGTTGTAGACAACCTAGAATCACAAATGTAATATATCTGAAAAACAAGAGAGTGTCCATATTAATTGGAAGTTTATTTGCTCCCAAATGCCAAAGCTCACCATGTGAAAGGCTTTTGCAGATCACATCACAATTGTTCGGTGTTTTGATAATTTGTAGAAGTTTGAGACATTGGTGGATATTGATTTCTCTGTGGAAAAGCTTTATGAGTTTTTGTTCTCACGTGAGAATTGTCATACACCTGTACAAATTTCATTGTAGGGAGCTGATTCAGCTGCTTCATGCCCGAGGGACGGCCGTCTATTTAGTGACCGGAGGCTTCTTCTGCACGGTGGTTGAACTGGCCAAAGCACTTCAGATTCCCGAAGAAAACATCTTTGCCAACAGAATGAAGTTTTACTACAGTGGTAAGATAGTTCAGAGAAACATTTTGGTCACGTTTAGCATTGATTTTACTGGTGCGTCTTGCAATGGAAATGCACTAAGGGGGAACTCTACAAATGTGTATAATTATGTGAAAATTTACACGTCGCTGCCGCGTTAGGTGGGGGCATATTGTTGAGTTGTTGAGCTGATGAAAGTTTGTTTTTTTGGACAGATCAATTTTTTCCATTATATACGCGGTGTTATTACTTGCTAATGCCCAGGTATTTTCTCGACACAACCATACACTGCTCTTGCTTGCTTCCATTTAATAAGGTGTAGTAGAACTGCAGTGATAAAAACCTGAAGGTCTTGGGCTTTCTTGCTGTGCCTGGCAGTAAGCGGAGGAACCGCACATTACTGTCGTTAACTGGCAATGTGTCCTACATGTATGAAGCCAACTAGACTAGCACAGCCAATGATGTTGTGTGTTCAGGATATGGTTTGAAGGTAACCTTCACTGTTATTTGTGATTGTTGAACTTCCTGAACTTGCTCTTTGGAGTCCTTGCTGTATTCATGAATATTGCCCTGATGAAAGTTCAAGCAGGCTTGATGGCCTCGGTCTAGTCATGAAGAAAGAGGCAATACAAATTTCTGGGTCAAGAGCTTAGCCTTGACCCTACAAATTCCTGTGAAACCTGTTGGAATTGAAAAATAAATAAAGTAGGGATCAAAATGAAAGTTACCCAGGGATCCTACTGTTTTGAAGAAAAGCAAGTGCATCTCTGCTAACCAAATTGATCACTTGTTGTCCCAAATGGGAATATATGAAGTGGATTTGAGATGTTTGTTACTCCTTGCGACAGGTGACTTTGCCGGATTTTGCGAGGAGCAGCCGACCTGCGAAGCCGGCGGCAAACCCAAAGTGGTGGGCTCGCTGAAACAGAAGCACGGCTACCAAAACTTGGTGATGATTGGAGATGGGGCCACTGATCTGGAGGCTTGCCCACCAGCAGTAAGTCCATTAGGAACAAGACGCAGACTACATGCTTGTGGGCGGAGAGACCCAGATACCAGACAGAAGGGTGCATGCTGGCGGGGGGGAGACTACACGGGACTTATATTGAAAGTTCTTGTGGGAAATTCTTCGGTGCACAAGTACAATGTAGCAAAGATGGCAGTACACGTGAAATGACTAACATCTAAAAGTGACATCCCCTACTCAATACACCGGGTATGCTCAAAGGTTGGCATAGTGTTTCTTTCCTCGCCTTCCAGCTCTAGGGGCCTGGGTTCGAATCTGGATGGTCCACATATGGATCTGGTTTTCAGTCCCCCGAGTCCGTGAGTTTTGCCCAAGACATTATCCGGCTTTTCCTCCCACCTCTGAAACTGAACATCTCTTCATTGTCTTCTTCACTCATTATCATCCTGTAATTGGCGCTAAATGCACTGTTGGATGAACCGATATAAATAAATCAAAATAAATAGGTGAAGCATAGTCAGCCAGTGTGATAAGAATCGGGTCTTCATTTTCAAAATTAGCTCTCACTTATATGAAGCAGTTGATGATATTTATTATCACCACAAAAGCTGAAACAAAGGAAAATGCAAATTTGTTGCATCACACCAAATACGTACATGTAGGATGATTTGCTTCGGTTTTTGTCGTTTTCGACTTCAGCCCGTGTGACCCCGAAACTTGGCGATGTCAAATTTCTGTGGCCTGGTCAGACTGGCCTTGTTGCAGCCATTAGCCCTCGTAAATGTGCACAAATGCCAAGTCACTCTTTTGCATATGTTTTCTATGCGGAACACAAATATGCACAGCTTCAGTGTGTACATACAGTTGATTGCACACACAAAATGACACAGGCTCTTTTGTGCAGTCCTCTTCACTGCATTTGGTTTACTGCACAGCTATGCACATGAAACAGTGAGGCACAGTTATTGGACAGCACAAAAGTGCAATCTGATATTCCTGTGAGGGACAGTTGGTGCTGTGCGCATGACACAGCTGTGCTTCTTTCTGCGGCTTACCAACTGACCCAAAGAGTGACTTCAGCACTCGAAGGATTAAATAACTGGTGCAGTGTATTCTTTGCTGAAGGAGTTCATCTTTCTTTGTCCCTTCACAGGATGCCTTCATTGGCTTTGGCGGCAACAAAATCCGGCCCAAGGTTCAGGAGTGCGCCCAGTGGTTCGTCTCCAGCTTCCAAGAACTCATCAATGCACTGAATGAGTCTTCATGATGTCATAGCCAAGGTTGCCGGTAGTAACAGCCAAAGCATTATGGGAAAGATGCTCTGACATGAAGCCTGATCAAGCTTTGTCCTCAGGAGCCAACATTTTTAACAACTAATGTTTTCAATAAGCAAAGTATTCAACTTTTTCTTTCCGGTTACCATTTGAAAACACACAGGGTGTTGTAATTTTTTGATGTGTCACACTATGGTCACGCGAAGGTTACATGTATGCTGCTGTTAGGAATGTGTGTGAAGTGGCCTTGTGGCGGTGAAAAAGTGTTTACGTTAATAAATTCTATCTAAGAGTCAACATCAACCAAAGAGGTGTAACAATTCAGGGATGTACTGATAAACCAGCTTCTAGACTACCTAAATTGCCAATATGGCTTAATGATGCAAAAATTTGTATTGCGACACTCGGCAGTAAATGAGCAAAACACAGAACTGAACGCCTTTTCATTCCAAAACTGGGACAGTCAACCAAACTCCTATCCTGTCATTGTGAACAGAAAATCGATCATTTGGCTGTCTTCTGCTCACGTGAAAGTTGGAAACAAACATGCTGTTTCAACCATCAATCCTGGAAGAAAATCAGACTGTGGACAGCATCTGTGAAAGCGTATATCAACCGACTGGGCTATGCCGCTAATTAAATGCAAATGTGCTTTGTTACATCGCTAACTGTGGGCAGATGGCACACAGTGCACGTTAAGACCTGGTGCACATTTCGTCTGCATGGATGTTTTGATCACTTGTTTTGTGAACAAGTCACGCACTGCACTCATTTCTCCCAAGATGCCAATACCTAATGATAAGTAATAGTGAAATCATGAGATTATGAAACAGTTGAAATACTGACACAATATATTTAAGAAATTGATCAACTTGTTTATTACAAATTTGTGCCAGTATAGAAAATAGTTTTGAAACTAACATGGGTCCCTCTCTCTGGCTCTTTGTGCCACACTACAACATTATAGAAATTGCAGAAACAATAAATAAAAAGTGTCCTGTGAAGAACAATTAAACAAGAAATAAATATTCTGGTAAATACCTATTAGCAGTTTTAGTCGTTTCTTTCTAAAGGTCAACTTTAAACCATTTCAGATATAAAGTAGTTCAACGGACCTCAGTCTTGTCAACTTGTGGCATGTGACACAAAATGCCTTCACATAGGGGAAGCACTGCTCATGTGACTGGCCCCCTTTACAGTGTAGTGTGTTTTTACGTCTACACCTATTCAGCTAAAATAAATCTCTCTCTTTTTCGGGATGTAGACAACACGCTGCCTTACTGCATCACCAAATGCCTGAGGACATCAGTATACTTGAGAAATCAAAAATGGCTTCACCATAACAACAATGTTCTGAAAGCAAATTTCAAAGTGCATGTACATGTACCCGAGTTGCAGACAGTGAACATTTCATTTCTTCTCACAATGCTGCATTGCCTTTTTTTTTGCAAATTGTTTCAGGTTTTCAATTCCATTTGTATTATATTTCTCAGGCAAGAAAAAAAAGAAGAAGAAAGTACTATATTTGACATCTTATATAGGTTTTTGAAAGTCATAAGACTGCATAACTTATTCCAAACATAAAACTTCTGCAAAGCACCAACAACTTTGATACCTTGGACTACAAAGTATGCTCATTCGTTAAACGCACATTTTCTGGCTACTTCCAAGTGTAAAAAATAAGCAAGTTAAACATGGTAAATACTTTCCAAGTGATTTTATCTCCGTTAAGTTTTTAAACTTAGGAAAAGTACAGAAACCACTAAATTCATTGTTATCCAATCAAACACTTTCTTTGTAGTTTGACATGAGCTCATACATTTGCTATACCAAACAAGAAACTGCTATTTTTTTTTAAAATGCTTACCTCCCTCACGGGAAGAAACAATTACTGGGAGCAAAATTCACACGTCACTTCTACTGCTGTGAGAATTTCTAGAGATGAAACTTGTTAAATTTCTGCAAACTCCAAGCAAGGTCAAAGGCATTCATGTCTCACTTCATATTTAACTTTAAAAAAAAGCAAAACAAACACAGACTGCATCCCTGTGATCAAGCTGCTGTACATGTTAAACCAGATTTCAGACAGTTCCACGATAACTCCAAAGGAGTTCTAAAAACTGTAGGATTTGGGTGAAGAGCAAGAGATTTTGACACACTGAGTGAAGCAGAATTGAATGAGGGAAAGACTTCAAGGCTTACTTGTTTTGAGGTACATGTATCATGTACAGGTTTGCCAACTGCTTGAAAGGTACAGTCCATCATTTGCAGTATCCAAACTGTAACTGACGAAATTAGTTTTAACCCTAACACTCCTCAATCCTTCACCTGTTGGAGGACTGAGTAGTGTTAGGGTTAATAAACTTGCCTAGGTTAAAGATATTTATAGGACTATAAAATTATTCTTTCTGGCAAGCTGTTATTTTGAGGGAAACAATGACAGGCCATATCCATCGATGCGTCTCAAGACACATTTTGGAATATTGCCATGAGTAGATCGTTTTTTCTGATTTGTTTTTGAATGAATGCTGAATTAGGCATAATCCCAAACATGACGATGCAACTTTTTTATTTGAAATCAAGATCCTGGAATAGTTTCTCTTGAAATATACAGCGCTCACTGGGCTGAAACTACATCAGGTGAGATGGTTTTGTAACAAGTACCCCTCTTCAGAATTTGAGGAAGTTTGCCACCTCGAAGCGACAAAATGACAAACGATGGGCTGCACCTTGGAATCCACTGAATCTACCACTTTGGGCTGAAATATTCTACCACTCTACCTTCCTGAGTTGTCCTAGCTAGTTCCACTGCCAGGGCAAAGTGTATGCAGTTCCCTTTATGGCTTCTCCCAGACGACCTTCACCGGGTCAAAGTTGAACAGGTCGGGCTGGCCCATGTGCAGTTGCTCCTTGTCGCATCTGGACTTGCTCCACTGGAACACTGGCTGTTGGTCATGGGTCGGCCCGCTGACGGCCACCATAGAGAGAGACCTGTACATGTCGCTGCTAGTAACCTGAACAAATGAAGGCACGTAAAACTCACAAGCTTTACTTGTTGAACCAACAATATTGACGGAAGGAGGACATGGGCATGTAGACTACAGTAATCTGTACAGTATTCATTTTGTTCTGTTCTGTTCATTTCGAGTCATAAGAGTTCATTGCAAGAAATAGCCAACGAACACTTGTTTCATGATAGACAAGTAAAAAGTGTTAAACATCCAGGGCCTGGCTTTGATGTCAAGAATGGCCACATTCTTTAAAAAAGGGACAATTTTTGCCAAATTTGCTTCAAATTCAATGTGGTCATTTCTCTCCGAAGTACCACATGTGAGGGAAACTTTCCAAACTGGAACTTAATTCTTGAACTTGCAGTGCTGCAGGAAAGTATTGTGCTTGTCACTTCACAGACATTTTTCGCAAGTAACCATGGGTGTTTTCTCCACAAATGAGAGCTGAAGTGCAACAAAGGAATGTTTTTTGTTAAATTTCATATGAATAAGTTTGTGATTCACATTGAGACTGGGACCCCTGTGAAGAAACTTTGAGTCCTTGTGAGGTACTTGCTAAACAACTAAAAAAACCTTGAATGTTTAGACACTCAATTCCTTACATCTGCTCCTGGTAAATCAGGCCAATTTTGCTGGTGAAAGGGAGGATTGTTTCTGTTTCATTATAATCACTCAGTTTTGAATTACTCAGGTCCCTGAATGGTTAGGCAAATGACGCACGCTGCATGAGCAATACACAGCTACCTTCATGTCTGTACCACCGTGACATCGGAAACCCAGAGCGGGGAACGGGTAGGTGCCGTTGGGCGGGTTGAGGTCAGAGCGAGCTGAGATGCCATTCTCGCCGCTGTAGGGCGGCGTACAATTGCACCGGGAAAAAGGATCGTGCTGGAAGTCATTGTATCTGCAAGCAGCAACCACAGAGAACATCTAGGTAAGTCTCAGAAACTAACGGTGTTGACACCGACCTAATATCGTGCCAAGACGAGGCAAATAGCAATCACCTGTTATGGAGTCTACATTGCACAACTGTTTGACATTCAAATATAAAAACCTGTACAATGCAGAATGTTCCTCAATGCATATGCATTTACGTGAAATTATTATTATTTTTTAAGTTAAATTGTTAACTATTCTATCCAGTCCAATTAGCACTGCAACAGGAAAGATTCAAATTCGAACAGATGATGCCGCGTACATGTATAAGATATTTATTGTGTGCACTGGTTAGCTAGCTGACCTCATAAACAGAGGTCACTATCACTAAATCAAGTCTCGGGAACCTGACTGGTTGCTTTGCATGAGCAGTGACTACCCCAACTTCCCAATGGTCTATCTGGCCTGGTTCTCAAGCAAGCAGGTTCCATGTACACCTGAAGTAGTGTAACTATACGTGCGCCTGTAATTCAACTCAGCCTTGGACCCTAAATCTCAGGGAAATACGACAGTAGTGTCTGACTAAGCCCTGTGGGTTGTGAGTAAGGAGCAGATGATATATACATGCAATATGCATTCAAATGAACCTAACAAGTTTGGACTGGTTCAAGGAATTTGCACCCTGGTTAAGGGTCTCAGTGCTGTGTTTGTCAACATAGCCCACGGCTCCCAAACAATAAGTGATATCCGGTTCATAAGTGTGATGTCACTTCAGTTTAAACCATGCCCACTGCACATGCACTGTACACAGAGTTACCTGCACTGATCACCGTTTACGTGGAACCGGAAGTTAACGCGCAACTTCAGCGATCATCCAACAGGACGGGAGCCTGCAAATCACGGCGCATCCGCATCTATGACGAAGTCACTTACAAACTGGATATATATGAGCATGCAAACTTAATGCGACCCAGCGCACTAACCAGTGAGCGCTAACTCAACTCTGATACCATTTCCAGTAGAGATCTGCTGAAGGCTGATATTAGTCAGTAGGTGTCTGCTGACCACCCTCCGTCAGGTGACTAGACCAGCAGACATTTAGGCAGCGTCAACTGAAAGCGTGGCTGAGAGTTTCCCAGATTTGGGAAATCTAAGTTCTGTAGTTCTGCATGGCAGGACACAGACAAGCATGGGAACCGACTCCAGCCCAACCAAATATACATGCTGTATGGTAGGCTTGACCAGACTGCACAATGCGATGTGCACAAGACCAGGGCTGACTCCAGTCGGCCATTTGTTTCCTTTTCAGTACTGAGCCTACCATGGCCGAAGGCCCACAATATGTGTCTGCTGATTGTCAAAGTCTCAAAGTCAAGCAGCCCTCATTCTGCATAATGATTAATCTGTGAATAAGCACACATATCTTAAATGCTCATCTTCAAATGAATGTCTGTTACACAAGCTACCAGGTTACCATCAAAAGATTTCAGAAATGAAATTGGACCAATAGCAGACCTCATTAGTTTGATCATGGACGCCAGGTCAGTCACTTTATGATGGTCGCGCCGAAAGATGTTTGCTCTTGGGGCTTTGTCGTAGATGAAGAATGACCCGTACTTGGCCGCCTCCTCAGCAAAGCCACCATTCTTAAAGATGTCTGGAAAATACCTGCAAGAAGCCAAGATTCCAAAGTCTTCATACGACTTTGTTGTAGTTCTCTACTTGTATGAACATTGCCATGGCATGAGTATTAGATATACTACATGTCATCAGAAAAACTTGATTTCAGGCCAGTAAGTTAAGCTTGAACGGAAAAATAAAAGCCCAGGGGAGCAACCTTTCTATTGTTGTGAAATAATAATAACTGCATTTAACATACCATTGCCAAAAGACACTAAGTATTTGAAGGGCTTTTTCTGTAATTCATACACAACAAATACATCAGGGGTGTGATTTGGGGAAAACGAAAAATCCGTGAAACATTCATCGGAGGGTTTTGCAAGTCACGTCGGCCACAGCTTCCCCTACAATTCGCGGCATATCTATTTGATTACAGGAGGAGATTCAGGTACTACACGTAAGCCAACACAAAAGCTGTTCTTACTTTGAGGGATACAATTATAACATTCACTGCAACAAAACCCTTGTCCTCATTCACTTCAATTGCAATTATACATACGCTATAATTGGTGACAATCAAAGACCTAGAAGTGTAACACACACACACGCAGTTATCAGTGATCCACAAAATTTTATCACAATTTATTAAAACTGAAAACTGTCTCATACATATGAGTACTGCATTACTTGTGACACCAGGGCATATAGTTTTTGTGTTGAGTACAGTAGTACCCAGGTTTGTCGATTTCCCCTTGGTTAATTCTCTGTCCACCTCAGTTTCCAGCCAGGAAAATGTCCAAGAATTCTTGAATCCTTTGTCTACATTCAGATCCCCTTCCCTACCTACATTACTACCTTGTATGACATTTTTGATGGATGTCGACGACATCAGACCACCACGAGCACGAAACAAAGCGCAATGGCAGAGGAACGCAAGTTATACACAGTGCATGCAGCGAAAACACGGGTACCGCGCATACACACACAGCGAATGTACAGTACATGTACATACACACCATGATCATACTGCTGGCCTGGGTCCCTATGTTTTAACAATGATACCCCTTCCGTTCAATGTACTATTACCTACATGTACATGTATGTATCTGGCGCATTTCCAGGGGGGGGGTAACAACGTAAAAGCACATGCTATACACCTAAACTAGTGCAAGTCTTTCGCTTAGTTTCACACCAAATATTGTAGTCTTTGCATTACATATTGAAAGCATAGACAATACGAAAATCCAGAAAGTCTCACAGAAATTACATAGAGTCTCTCAGAAATTACATAGAGTCTCACAGAAATTACATAGAGTCTCACAGAAATTATATAGAGTCTCCCAGAAATTCCGGAAATCCAGAAAGTCTCACAGAAATTACATAGAGTCTCACAGAAATTACATAGAGTCTCATAGAAATTACATAGAGTCTCACAGAAATTACATAGAGTCTCACAGAAATTACATAGTCTCAAAGAAATTCCGGAAATCCAGAAAAATCACACCCCTGATACATAACATAGATGCTGATGAGGTTGAGAATAGGATTGACAATGAAACTTGTGGTACTTACGGAATATTATAACTGGGCCAGTAGGTCTGCTGTGAGAGTAACTGTGTCAAGTCCTTGCTCTCAATCTGGCCACTGGATAACAAAAAGGTACGCATTTATCATTAATGGGTCTCTGGAGTGGATTTTCTTTTAATATAAACCTTCTCAGGAATGTTTTCCACGAGTGAATTCTTGGTTCACAATTTGAACACAAAAGTCAATGCACTGAACAATGTCTTCCCTGGATGACATCACAGCAACAGCGCCCTCAGTTGTTCAGGAAAGCACAGATACTTTTATATGTCTAAGAAGTGCCCTTTTCCATGCATTTTAACCTAACAGGGCAGTTCAGTAGTTTTCGTACATTGAAGAAGGGTACAAAAACATTTTTTTCACAATACTACATATGAGGAACACAGATTGCATTGGTGTTAAAATCCATATGTCAACCAAATACATATTTCTGTTTCACAAGTTGATGCCGAGTATTCTGTACCATGCCTGATCAAACACTACATGTACTTACGGAATCTGGTCTAACAGTGCAAAAACGCCCTCTGTTGGCAAAGGCTGACCAGGTGTGAAGTGTTTGTAGTCTACAACCATCCACTCATTGTTGTATCTGGAATATAACGCACAATACATGATAAAACATGTCAGAGGGAGTATAACCAAAGCAAAAACTCCAGAAATGACCGAACACAACTTGTACATGTACGTGTAACAGACAAGTCACGCACAATCAAACAGTGTCACAAAGCACGGAAGCCCTTAGATTTTAAATAGCCTATTGAAATGCATGAAGTAGTCCAGAGAGTGTGACTTGAGGAAACGAAATCAAACAATCATAAATGAAGCTACAAAGTACAGGTACATTGTACTAACAGGTCCTCTGTGACAATTATAAACTGATGCACCTCTTGGTCAATGTACATGTATTTCTGGTTGTGAACGGTTAGAATGGAGTGTTTTAACCAAACACTGCAAAACAAAATGTCTTTCTAAAAGATTTTGAGTTCACACGAAAACTGTATACTCAAACAGAGATTGGTTGCACATGCTCAGCAACACAGCAAAGCACGTGAACCAGCATGCATGCTGTGAGTTGGGGACAAAGGACCGTTATTGCTATGTAAAAACGTGCCCTTCCTTCTTCCCTTTCAGAATGGAAAGAGTAAAATAAGGGAATTATACGTTTAAGAGGAGTCTCAGTAACTTTCCTAGCACAATCAATTTGGTCTTGGGTACTTCAATCCTCACATGAGGGAACAAAGAGCAAAGAGCTGTGTTTCCATTAAAAATGAACCGTGGCAAGTAAAGCAGGTTATAATTGCACACCTGCAGAGTATATGCTACCATAGTGGTAGCTTTCTATACAAAGGTACAGTAACAATGCAGGTATGGTGCATCTCAACAAGACATCAAACCTTCCAGACTCAGCCATTGTGATCAACTGTCAATGGCACGCACTTTGTTGGTACTATGTACATGTATGACTCGGCCATCCAGTGCCCTTGTTCTGCATTACCAGTACCATATACAATGTTACTACGGCAGCATGGAGATGGGAAAGCCCTGTGCATGTTATTGGTCGATACTGCCTCGCAAAGTGTGATGCAATATAGGGTAAATCAAACACACTCTCAGCGTGGCGGTATCTTAAGTGGCATTTTGATGGGTAAAGGGCAAATGTTGGCAATTGTTTTGACTGGTCCACCGGCCTACTTCAACAAGGGTTTCACTGGACTTTTGACTGGTATTTGGCCACTGGACCAGCGTTATGTTCGAACCCTGCGTACCTGTACATACATGTATATGTACATGTACATGTCTGTAGCTTTTTTTTGGTTTCCAACTCAGTATCCAACTCACGTGCCACTGTTATACTTGCTGAAGATATCCGTCCACTCTGTGACTGAACTGGCAAGGCGATTGGCCAGGACAGTACGCATCCATTCCAGCACAGTCCCCTTGGATTTCACAAACTTCCACAGGTCCGGATTCTCATTGCCTATTGTGGTTTCCATGGTTACCTGCGCGTACGGTAGAGACAAACACGTGCAATGAGCCTTGAGCCGGACCAAGACAGGGCGCAATTTTTTGAGCAATGGAGGCTCCTTTGGTCGGAACTGAACTTTGCTGGTCTACAAACCGCTAGGAAATGAACTTCACGTTACGGTCGCACCACTTCCAACAAAATGAACACTCCCAACCAACACGGCCCTTTTTTAACCGGTGAAGGGGTGCTTCTGCTCGAGGTGGATAGTGTGGGTAAACGAGAAGCTGGGAAGGCTTGTGTAGTTGAATTTTATTCTTAGAACATTGTGTAAGGAATGTGTATACCATTTCATAAAGCATCGTAAATTACTAGGTACACGTAGCTATGTGTTACTTTGTATCGAAAAAGACCTTTCAAGATATGCCCTCAATTGCTTAAGGCTCTCTCTAGACCCCTGATAACTCCAACAGAAGCAAAATGTGGAGCTTGCAAAACCCAACACAATCCTACAGTAAATAAGGGTATTCTGATTACTGCTTATTTTTTATTTTGTTTTTGTTTACAATAATTGCCCACAGGCAGATATGCTGAAAAGAAGCTGTTCTTTTTAGGCCCTCCCCAAAAAGGTGTTTCGTCTCTAATTAGCGTCCGCGTCGATTTTAAGCATGCCTGTCAATCTTTTTTCTCTGCGAGAGCTGCAATAGTGCTCTCTATTGCTGTAGTGCCTCAACATTTTTGCTGGCAGCTCTATCTTTTACTCAGGGCAATAGATCCCGACAAGATTGCTAATGAACAATGAAAGCAGACTATGGAAACAAAGTTGTTTGTTGTCAGCTTATCATCACAATAAAGCTGGTCTAGTCCCACGACTTGACAAAGTGTGTTTGCAAAAAAGGCGCCTCTAACAGTTTGCAACACGTTGGTCATTCACAATGTACGAAATCTGTCACCCAATGCGCAGTTAGAAAGCATCGACACATTTCACACATAGTGATTGGCCGACGCCTTGCAAACTCTTGGAGGTGCACTATTGTGAATCGCCCGTATTGTCTGTAAAATCCACCCCTGGAGGAGAAAACAACCCAAAAAACGCTGCATCGCCGCATCAATTCTGGAACATCGGTCTAACCAGAGACAAACAATTTGGGGTGGGGGGGGCTTATGTGACATTTTTATTTTGCCTACCAGTGGCTGGTAATATTCTGACTGGCCGTCGGCAAAAAAAGTAAAAAATACTTCTCTTAAGTGTTGAAAAATCCCAGGCAGCTATCACAACATCAAACAATAAACACCACTTCTGAATATTAAATGAAAATAAGACCCTACTTCAGCAAACTTTGGTTGCCCAGATAAAAAGTACACTACAGGAGGAACAAGCATGAGAGACTCAGAGATATCAATACGTGGAAAAGTTTTTGAGGTGGAGGCTTACCAAACCTGAGCCTGTGATGTAGTAATCATCGCCAGAAATGATAGGTCCAGGGTAGGAAGAAAAGGTGACTTCACGACCCGGAACAATTTCAGATACTACAGATAAAGCAAAAAAAAAATGTTGAGTTGAAAACAGAACACTGACTCTCATCCACGGTGCAAGGTCCCGGAAGCTATTAAGCAGTAAATCCTAAGCTAAATGAGCAATCTTCATCAGAGAACAGGTCAAAAGCTCAGCACATGATGTACATAAATATTATAAATTGCACAGCCACATAGTTAATAGCAGCCTCTTTGGGCAAAACAAAAGAGAAGCCATTCCGTGCTAAGCATGTTTTGGTGCCCCTAACACCATGAAATCGGCCCTTGATTTAATTCTGTAGGAGAAAAAGGGACAAAGGATCAAATACATCTACATGCACTTCAAACCCCTGATCTTAACTGATATAATGTACACCTTGTGCCAGAGAATGCTCCAAAACAAATCTTCATGTAAACAGTGGAAGAAATGGGGTAGAACCCACTGCAAAAAAACAGTTATTGGAATATCCATACAAATGGTATACACTGTGCAGGTATGTGCTTGCTGGCAGCCTGTACTGGTGCACAACTGAACAAAATATGCCATACTATGATCAAGATCTCATATTGTACATTGGGACACAACGGTGGTACAGTACGTGTAGGTGAGAAAAGTGAACTAAAGTACATGTAAGTCAACATTATACGCATCCCAAGTCACCCTCCAGCAAAGACCCACATCGTGTACACATGTCCTTTGTGCTCAAGAATATACATACAAGTGTAAGTGTAGAGCAGTTCATTCGTGCATTCATAAAAATACTCACATTGTGGAGACATTCTGAAGGGCAAGTTGTATTTTTTAACGATCCTGAGCATATCTCCATATTCCGTCCAAGTGACGTGGGAAACATAGAGATCTTTGTTGCCCGGCAGCAGCTTGATAAGGGCTGAGCAATGGCCGGAAAATCTGCCGCGTTTACGACCACCGTCTGCTTTCAGTGCTGCTTCGATGCCGTCGAGATCGCCACCGGCTTGGAATAGACTGTAAAACAAGACAGATTGCTCTTTCAAGCACTTTCAATGTCCATCAAGCTGATGCAAGAACACATCTGAAATTCGTCACTTGTCTTTAACTCCTTGCTCAAACGGTGCGTGCACTTCAACCATGTCAACTGCAGTTTAGAACCACTTTAAAATGACATCAAAGAGAGCCTACATGGATGTGTGTGTGCATGTGTCGCTGTAATGACTGACATAAGCAGCGATTATGCAGAGAAGACGTCCAGTCCAATTTTTGCGTGACCAATTTTTCCACTATTTTTGGAAGCAAATTGTTTCTTTAAATTAACATCCTTCATCTTTGAGTGAAAACTAAGGTCACTTTGGGTGCCAGTGACAACATCCTTGATAATCACATTGTCACAGGTGTTCACCAATCATGCATGGGCCTAGTCTTATGCACGACCTCTTGCGCACGTGAAATGCTGCCAAAATGGACAGCCCTGTTGAGATCTTACACAGTATTGTGATGCTATCTGCAAAAACCCTTCACATGGTGAGCTTAATCATTTGGGTGCATATAAACTTCCAATTAATATGACTCAATCTTGTTTTTCAGATATATTACATTTGTGATTCTAGGTTCTCTACAACATGAATCCAGGCTGTCTAGAATCACAAATCAAAACAGTTTTAAAAACAGGACAGTGTCCAGATCAATTTAAAGTGGATATACAAAAATGACAAAGCTCACCATGTGAAGGGTTTGGCGCAGATCCCATCACAATTGTAGAATTAAGACTATTTCTGGATGACAGACATGGCATTATTATTACATGTATGTCACATGTTTATGTATTTTATGGCTGCCAAACATTGAATTCAAGGGTTTACATCTTACTTTTCCATAAAACTTCCACTTTGACAGCGTTTTACAACTGAACTACAGGGTACATGTAAAGTTACATGTACAATGTTCGTACCAAGTCTGAAACTTTCAATAAAAGGTCAATCTTGTTTCTCTCCAGAAAATTGCATTGTTGTAGGCTTTCACTTACTTTAAAACAATGGCCTGTTTTTTCTCTAGTCTGGGTGGATTAACTTAGGGATTTCCTTCGACTTCTTAATCTGAAACTCTCCCATTTCCTTTCATTCAAAGCTAGGACTAACATGTAAGGAGCAACCGATGTCACGCATTGTTTAGGCTAGCCTGGAAATCATGTGACAGAATATATCAGCACATGACACTTCCAAACAATTCACCAAATGGCACCATCGTTTGAGACTGCATTGTTCCATACGGTAGTCCTTCAGGGGAAGTGGGACTTCAGAAGTTACCCGGTGATCTTCTCATTCATTATCTAAAAGTGGCATCATATTCTATTGTCAACCAGCTTCCTCAGTGTTGACATATCGCACATGTACCAGTGCACTGTATACCCAAGACCAAATAAGGCCACAAATGTGGCAGGATAAACGGTACCAGCACAATCAATTTCTTTCTTCCATAACTGCATGACCCCGAAGGGCAAAAAGATCTGTCTTGATTGCTTTAAAGGAAACTTCATGTACCTGCACATGTAAGATGTGAGCTCGGCAGAGGGTAGAAATATGGGAAACACATGTACATGTACAGTAGGAATGTGTGCTCCTGAATATCTACATGTACATGTAGTTTTCAAATCACATCCAAGACAGGAACTAAGAAATACTTACAGGAAACCGAAAGGGTCAATGTCAATAGTGGGCCTGTGGGGTTTGTTCATGTAGCCGTCTTTCACTCCATCCACCTGATTTAGGACAAGGCCCATCTGAGAATCAAAACGGTCAACACAGATTTGTCCATGCAAGTTATTTCACTCCATCCAAAGTCAGAGCAAAACCCATCTGCAAAGTGAAACCAGCATGACTGTTTGCGCAGTTATGAGTGAAAATTTATTGAACCCACGAAACAGAGTTTGTGTTTGTTCATTCAAATGCAGGAATGCACCGTATGCAGAAGAACCACACGAGCCAATGGGCAATAAACCTGCTGAAGCAGGATCATAAATGGCAACAATAAAGGATGCATAACAGGCCCAGTAATTTTGCAATAGATCTCACAGTGACTGTGAAGAGAATTTAGGGATGTGTAACAGCAACCATTTCACATCTCAGTCTCTTGGACTCGTGTGTGATTGAAAGTTCCCATTGCAGCCCTTTGTTTCTTTTTAAAATCCTACACTTGTGCAATAGACCAAGGGTGCACTTTGTGCATTAACTAGCTTGTCAGCAGATACATATAGCCCGATCCATTCAAGCCCAACCCCACATGCCTTGGGGCCAATCACCAGATCACAGCTGTGATTTAGATGTGTGCAACATGTGTACATAGTACAAGAAAGTGCACGCAGGCACACTACAGTACATGCATCACCTGTGTGGCTGCAACCTGTGATAGGGGACTGGAGAGATGCATGAAGTGCCCACATGTAGAGTGGGCGGGGCCTGTATTTGAATGAAGAAAACACAAACTCTGTTTTGTGTCTTTGATAAACTTTCACTCATAACTGCGCAAGCAGTCATGCTGGTTTCACTGTCTGTTATAGTCATGTCAATTTATTGCAAGTCCATCACTGGCCATCTGGTTGCAACTGAAACTCACAGGCTATGCGTACATGATGTACACACTGTGCTGAAATTAACTGTGCCCCAAACTTTCCTTACTTGTTTTGCCATGTGAAATTGGTCTTGAGCTTCCCTGTAAGACTCCAGTACAATTTTGAAGCTAGCAAAATGCACGCATAAAGTGATGGTGGCTGGACTGTAAGTTCCAGAAGTGGCCTAAAAGTTCAGTATTTACCCTAAACTGATGTGACCCTAACTTTTGATACTAATCAATGAAAAGGTTTCTTCTGTATGATTGCTCTGAGCGAATGATCAATGTTGAATGAAATCTCCAGCTTTATTTCCTTTTCTTGGAACAATCTTTAATAGCTACATGTATGAATTAGAAAGAAAACGTGACTGGCTAATGGTGGAATTATTGGCAAATCGTGCAGTAAGATCGACCGATCACTGCCGGATGCCATCAACATATGCACACAAACAACGTGGACTGACTTTTCAAGGTACACATGTGCCTCACCTGATAGAAGTATGGGTCATCGGGATTCAGCTCCACCTGCTGTTTCATCCATTCTAGATTCTCCCCCAAGAAACTCTTGATTTTCTCACAGTCGGGCGTCATGGTGTGGCAGAAGCTTGCCTGTGTGTTGAACCACTCCATGTAGATGTAGTCGGCCGTCAGGAAGCCCTCTACCAGACCAGCGGCGTATGCTTGGAAGGTGTCATTGTACTCGGGGCTCGTTGAAACTGTTAAATAGTTCCATCTACGTTGTCAAATCAATAGATGCATAATTAATGGACTGCAGTTCATAAATGGAACAGTGTATCAACGATGATGCCAAGTCACAATGAGCCTCCGATGTAAAACTGACTCACCATCTCAAGATCTAGACAGTAAAACGACTGAAAAGCAGTGTTATATTCGACTCCATCACAAGTCCCTGTAAGTCCATCACAAGCCATTCAGTCCTAAGCCAATTCACAAGCAATTCAAATGAGCTGTGACCAAAGCATTCCTTTGTCATCGTTCACCCTGATACTTATGACTGGCCTTGTGAAGGGACTTGCGACTGGACTTGTAAAAGGACTTGCGATGGACTCGAATACAACACTGCTGAGACGGCTTGGAATATAATGCACTTTTAACAATAACATAGAACTAAGAAATACACAATGTACCAGTACATGGGAATGAATGTGTTCCGCATCTACATGTACAGTCTTCACTTTCTTCATAGACCAGTTATTGCAGAAATGCTGAAAAGACATGGGGACTCAGAATATTTCAAACTTTGTCAGGAACGTTTTATATTTATATACATGTAATTGGTCATCCAACAGCCCATTTACCAGTAGCACCAATTACAGGATGATTATAAGTGAAGAAAAGCTCAGTTTTAGAAGTGGGAGGAAACCCTGGATAAATATTTTGGGGAAAACCCACGGACTCGGGTAAGGACTGAAAACCCAATCCACATGTGGACCGAATCGGACACAAACCCAGGCCCCCAGAAGTGGAACACGAGGTTGGTTAAACCATGGGGGGAGGAATGGTTAAAACTGTTCAAGTTTTCCAAGTGCGGGAAGAGTTCCATAATAAACACATGCCAGTAATTATTCCCTACAATAACCTATTAGCCATCAGAAAGCAAAAACATGTACAGAAAAGTTAAATTTTGGAGGGAAAAAAGGCTAAAAAATAAAGTCATTTACTTTAAAAACGCTCAGAATTTTTCAGACCTGTCCCATAGGGTTTGTGCACAGGGTGTCAAGTGCAACTGCAACTAGATTTTCCTATTTTAGGTCAGGGCCTATTGTTCCCAGCATGGCTATGACGATCAATGATTGATGGCCAAGGCTTCAAATTTACAAAAAATATGACATTAGAGGCACATCACAACTTGTCCTTGATTGTCCTTGTATTTGGAGAAATCCTTTTATTGGAGACAAAATCAGTCCCTGGAAAGGAAACGGGTCAATTTGTCCCTGGGTCAAGTCGTCTCGCAAAATCGAACCCCTGGTCAAGTCGTCTCTGGGTCAAATCATCCCCAAGTCAAATTGTCCCTGGGTCAAGTCGTCCCCCACTAGTTCTTACAAGTGTTGTCTGTGCATGTAATTTTCTTTTTAGGTGCATCAACCAAATGTAGAAGCGAAAGAAAAACAACACAGTGACTCACACATGAATGTGTATTCACAATTTTCATTCGTTCTACGCAGCTAGCTGGTGGCTTTTGAAATCTACGGTGACCAAGACGTGCCACACATATTTCTTAAAAGGGCGATTCCTGGTGTGTGACTATTCTTTGAATTGTCAAAGCAATTTGAACATCTTATATATATATTTCAAATCTAGACCCGGGGACGACTTGACTTGGGGACGATTTGACTCGGGGACGACTTGACCCGGGGACGACATGACTCGGGGATGACTTGACCAACATTCCCTGGAAGGAGAGAATGTCCCTCTACGTGTATATATGTTGACAAATGTTTTTCAAGTGGGCATGGCCATGGGGATCCCACCATTGTCCTGGGATCCTTTTAATGCCTTCAGCAGAAGAAAACACCCAAGACTGCAGTTAAAAAAATCTGCTGTTAAAAAAAATCTACCGTTTATTTCTAGGATTACAAGCAGGAGTCTGAAATGGCACATACAGTAAAGGGTAGAGAAATAATTCCTCTATGAACAAAACAATTTTCTGAAAATCAATTCTTTATGATAATCAAGTGAGAAGGGACAAAATCAACAAAAACAACCTAAATACCCAAATATGAATGGAAAATATGAGCGAAAATGGCATGTGGATATATTTGACCTAGGCCTAAGCCCACTTGGGAAAAAAGTCCCCAATAAAAAAAGTATAAGGAGACATTCTTTCAGAGACTGATTTTGTCCCCAAAATAAGCGGACCTCTCCAAATACAGGGAAAGTCCCCAAGTTGTAATGTGCACAGAATACTGTATAATTCCTAAGCATTTTTAACAACAGGAGGGACCAGTTCTCTAACGTAATGTAAGGATTGCGAATTGAGGTGGCGAATTGACATGACAGACAGTACCGCGCACAGGGTCCGCACTTGACATGCTTGATTAGGCACCTACGCTATGGGTATACCCACCCTGTTTGTTGTTGAATTTCAGTGAAGTTTCCCCAAGCGACACTGGAATTTGGATGGTAACCGTCCACTAATTTAAGGGCATTCGCGGCATGATCCAAGACAACCGAGACACATCTCGAGCTGGAAGGCTGACGAGCAGCTACATGGTAAAAAACGGCGCTAATCAACACAAAATGGGAGAGTGCTTCTCCAAGAACTGCCATATTTCCAACCTAAGCCGTCGAGCGTCAATGCACGTACTTTTCGCCCTGGCCGGCTAGCTGTAGCTGTACAACAAATGCGTCACGTGCATGTGAACGTACTGTACAGTACATGTACTGTACATAGTACAGTACATTACGCGTACACCCTACCGACATCAGCTGTTCTGGTTCTGCGCAGGTTAGTACCCCCTCATCGGCAAACCTCAGAAAATGTAGCACACTTTTTTTATGTTGAACACACGCAGACTGCCCAAAGTCTTGTCAAGTCGCTGTTTTCCCAATTGTCTACTACGGAATAAGGGATATTGATTTCCGGCTATGGAAGCAGTTGCTACTTGTCACGGAAAGTAATGTTTTTGGTGACCAATAACAACTTAAAATTTTATTAAAAATATCATTACAAAATGGAGAATTATGTCCTTTCTCCATTTTTTTTAGAGATCAAAGTACACGATGTACAAGCAGGGGCTTACACACCTAGCGACCGCGTGTGCGTGGGTGAGGGGGTAACAGCCTTCAAATAATTATTACCAGTCGGTAAATACAGATTCGGTCGGCAAATGAATCCAATATACGCCGACCATTGGCATTTCCCCTGGAGCGTGAAATGTAGGGTACCACGGCTTTCATAGTTTTACACTGTAAGAGGTTGCCGAACAAGTTACAAGTCGGCAAATTGATTTTGGCACAGGCAATTTTTTTTTATCACGGGAGGCTTAAGCCTGTTTCCTACGAAAGCACTCTAGGTGCCACCACTGAGAATAAATTTTCAAATAGTGAAGTAAATTTTTCCAAGGTCATTTCATTATGATGCAATATATTTTTTCAACTTTGTCTTTGTTTTTACGAGATACGTATTGTCATGTTCGTGTCTATACCTCATAAAAACGAACTTGAAAAGTATCTATTACTTGAAAAAATATATATCTCATAAAACGATTTAGGCCTGAGAAGCTGGTAGCAGCTGCCAGCAAGGACTTGCTTTGCGTTGTCTAGGAGTGACTGTCATGAGGCAATAACGGCGACATTATCCCAATTTAGGTCCTTCCTAGATGATTAAGCGACCCTTTTTAGGCAAGTCTTGCCTTCCTCAATCCGACAACGTCTGTGGAAAAGGTGAGGTACAATGAGCTCACCTGCCATCAACCTGGCTAGCTACCCACGGTCAGTGGGTCTCCAATTTAGTGCAATTGCAAACCAAGCAAAATAACAGATTGCATGCTGGAATTTGCAATCCCTGCCCGACAATAACCAATTGAACCTGAGGATGAAGTCAGCACTAAACACCCTATTGGGTGGACAGAGGCTGTTGCATGGACACGGGGAGGAATTAAGGAAGTGAACTACAGAGGATCTCGGATTGTCAGAAGAAAGGCAAGAGCGGTCCCATACCTTTTTCGGTTAAGCGCATAACGAGACTCCATACAGTATCTAAGGCACATCTGCCACTGGATTTGCAACTTCATATCGTCTGCTCATCACGCAGCTCTCCGAGCTGCCCAAACCATTGTCCATCCGGTTAATTAATGACCCGCCGTTTACATTCTCACAAACAGCTCACGTCTCCCTCATCGGTGTGTATGCTTCCAATCACTCGGTCAGTACTAAAGCAAACATCGATGCATTCGACACATAGCTCAAAGAAACTCTAAGCTTCATCTCACACGTGGGTACAGTACTCGGCGGTTTCAACGCAAGAGTTGGAATGATCGGACCACCTGGCCGAAAGTGCTAGGATATCACTGACAGGGTTCCCTCAACAGCAGTGGTGAGCTCCTTCTGCAATCATTCAAAGAACCGTTCTTCTACTTTCAAGACAACAACTTCTCCTCTTGGAATAGTCTAGGTCAGGTCGCTGCCATCTACTCGATGACATACTTATTGACCAGAAACGGTTGAAGGATGTCTGTATTACCAGGATCATGAGAGAAGCTAACTGTGCTTCTGATCACTATACATGATCCGGTGCCGCCTGACGGAAGCTCACAGTGCATCATACGAAGAGAAGAACCTCTGCAAAGCCATCAGGGAAATTGGCTTATGGCAAGCTAAAATGATGTTGCTGACCAAGTGGAACTCTCCATCGCCTCCCTAGCATGGTATATCACTTGCTCTATGCCACAGCTGACGAGAAATAGAACGACTCCAAGTGCCATCTGTTCAACCAACCAAAATTTGACGTAGGAGGAAGAGCAAGTCTGGTTTGATGATTGCGATAACGCCGTATCAGAGAGACTGGCAGAGCCCGATTATCCAAGAGTAAAAGCTGTGAGTTCTCGAGGTCCAAGGCCGCCCAGTAAAAGCAGTCGAGAGAGATGGAGGACAATTAAGTGGTGGAATGGAGGGGGGGTCCAACAGCAGCCAAGCCACAATCAACCCCCCCCCCTGCCACCATGTATCTACAAACATCAGAGAGACTCGACATCCCTCACTGGGTCGCTGACATTGACATAATTATACAGGCCCGAAGTCGCCCAGTGCCGTCGATGTAAATAATCCCATTGAGGCACGTGGCAAGTCTGTTAGTACACGTTTCAATGGGACTTGGCCAGGGGCCGGCTGGATTTTTGTCCTTGCTCAGGGTAAGCCCTGACGCGATAGAGGTGACCAAACCAGGTTTTTCAGCATGAACAAAGGTAGGATTAAATAGGCGGTGATGGTATTCGGTGATGGCATGTAGTTGGAAGATACTCAAATCCCCATGGAAATCTTCTGCTGCGAACTTCAACAAGGAAGTTGTAAGAACTAAGAAGACCAAAGCTTCACTACAAGGAATGCCATCTTGTGGCATCCGTCAGCCTGCAGCTCAGCAGTGGACACAGCAGCCACGAACCGCTCAGTGTGGTGCCAAGACTGCTGGTATTCTTTTCGGATCGTAGAGAACTGACTGCAGAAAGAGGAGGAGCAGCGCAGCCTGCGAAGATCAACCACAGCACACCCAAATATTTAAAAAAAATGCAACTCCAGGTCAAGTCAGCTGCCCTAGTCGCCACGTACTAAGGGAGAAGACACCCCATCAGTACCGGTCTGTTAGTCACATGAAAGGAAATAATGCCAGTTACGTCGTACCATTGTGATCGAGTGACAGCCAGAGAGAGAAGGGGGAGGGGTGTCTCGGCTTCATTTGATATCAAATGGAAAAGGGGGGTAATGACAATGGACCTTTCACATATCACGTCCACAAAAAGGCAGCGGCAAATGGAATGAGAGGCCCATTGAAATTAACAATGGATACCAAGTTTATTCTCTCCTTTTTTCTTCTGAAAATCCTTTACTGTCTCTATGGCTATATACTTTCTGTAGGTGGGTTTTGCTTAAATTAAACTCAGTTGATACACCAACGTGCCGGCCTATTCTCCACCTTTCGAATAATACCAAAAGTGCGTGGTTGTTTCTTTTCCAGAAACATCTTTTGAGAAGTTTTATAAGCAGATACAGTGCAATCGTATAGACCGGCTTGATTGACTCACACATGGATGTACACAGCACAGACACGAAAGGACAGTTTGCTGCATATCTAAAATTTCCTCCAAAACTACGGTCTGGAAACCCGGGACTTGCACTAACGTGTCAGCCTATAATCCAGTTTTCCAACAAATGTTCTTCATTATTTATTTCATTTCGAGATAAGGCCTAAATTACTATGAGCGATATTTAGCCAGTGCGCAGTGCATTAGTGCAGTCTGAGACCGGCTTGAGTGTCCGACTCATACATGACACATGGCTAATATCACCCAGTCGGATTACCCATATCCAATGCCTCTGTAAGAAGTATGCTGGTAATACATTACAGGAGGAACTTGAATTAGGCTTACGACTTCAGCAATCACTCTTGACAAAAGGCGTGTGGTGGTTAAACAGTTCTCCCTTTTTGTACCCACATTTTAAAACACATGTTTCACCAAGACATAGGCCCCTATTCAATTTTAGGTGTTTTAGACTAAAAAGGGTTTCGGAACAGGATTCAAAGCTTATGAGCAGATTTCACAAAGTAAAACGTGTTGTCTTCCATGGACAAGCTTTATGCATTTTAATTGAACACACTGAATTCTAAATGCATTTCAATGTAAAATATCAAAACATGTTATGTTGAAATGGTGGGTACAGAAACGTGTCTTAACTACAAGCGCTGTTTTTGCAGTGCAGGCTATGTAGGGCAGGTCGTGAGCGGAATTCGAAGAAACAAAGAAAGTTCAGTCGTGCTCACTCAGGCGCTGGCTTGCGTAGGCCCATTGGGTAAGGAAAAGGGTTTAAAGGGTTTATGGCTTGAATCCCACTGGGTTCTTTCTTCTCTATTTTTTTTTCAGTCTGGCTTGACTGTTGGAAAAGATCAATTTTAGAGGGTAGTATATATTTCTGCGCCGAATTTGTAGCCATATATGTTAGTTTTCTGCCGGGAAAATTCGCCCGCAATTCAAAACGTCATCAACCACACCGGTCAAGCTCTAACGCTCTCACGAGTGGTTGAATGCGCCCTCAAGAGGTTTAAATTCGTTTTCTGTTGGATCTCCGGAGGGTGAAATGAAATAATTAAAACCAATATACTACCTGTATTTTGTCATATAAATTCGAAAAAAATATTCAGTGGTTTTTTAAATCAATTTTCGTATGAGTAATTTATAATTAACAGTTTGGGGAAATGACCATAGTGAAAAAAATTGGGAACATAAAATAAAGCGACGGCTGTTTCATGTGTCAGATTTTCAGACATGCTCGACTGTAAAGCATGGCTGCAACAATGATGTCGTATCGCTTGTGTAACACATTTGCAGGTAATTAATTCCCCTCTCTGTTGCCTGAAATAAACTTGTTCAATGTAATTTTAACTTCCACTGACTACTTTACATCCTCAGAGATTTACGTACGCGTTTGTGATGTAAAACCTGCATGTGTTGCACCTCTAGTCTCTAATTTCTCTGACTGAACGGACATGACATGCAGAACTAGGCCTATCGCGGAGCTCCCAGCACGACCTTGACTGCACGGAAAGCAGTATATATAGTAGGCTTTACTACTAGTACAAAAAGGCCTTCACGTGCTTTTTCTTTGCTGCTAATTGCACAAGTTTCCCGATTTCTTTTTAATCTATTTTTGTGCAGGTGTCCGCACCAGCCTGAGTCAAGGGCTGTTAGACACCGCTATCAGGGTAAGCTGCCAGAAATCTACATTCAGAAGTGTGGAAATAATTGAATGACAAACACAAATGGAAAACACATTGCTTGTTCCTGACTGAGTGGGGTACAACTGTGCATTTATCTTTAGAAACAGCAAATGCTTCATTGTCTTGATGAAGTGTTTGTTACCATGGAAACGTCTGCAGAGTTGTACTTACGTGTGTATGTTAGATCATTTGTATGCTACAAATCCACTAATCTTTCTTATCTCTAATCTATGCTTGGACAGATATGGCCGAAGTGTATAGGGCATGTTACCATTAAAATGATTTCTGCTTAAGATGGTTGGCCACAGCTTACACGGAAGCTGACCTATATAAAAGAATCATTTGTCAATACATGCATTTATCACTGAAATTTTTTTTTAGATTCTCGTGTGCTTATAGAATTCAAAGACTTTTAGAGGTAAACTTTGCATGTGTCACAAATCACAATTGTGTCTTTTTTTTCTATTACAACAGAACACCAAGTCATGCCTGTGGCAGACCAGACACTTCTCCAGAATAGCCCCGCTGCTGTATGCAGCTGAGGCGAAGGCCAAGTTTGAACGGAAAAAGCCCCATGTCAATATCGGTACCATCGGCCACGTTGACCATGGGAAGACGTCTCTTACAGCTGCAATTACAAAAGGTAGCATGGACAGCTCTCAACAAAAGACCACAAGTTTCTTGGTTTAAGAAAAGTCCTTCCGAATTCCGTGAAAAAGTGTTCCACTAGTGTGTCAGTGAATCACTTAGAAAAAATTAAAGCTCAGTAGAACTGATGACCAGGTTGTATCAGACAAATTGTAATCTTTGCACATTCATACATCTCTCCACTGTCCTGCTGAATCCAGCAAAAGCAAAGTGGATTTAACCTACTGATCCCGACAGAGTCCATCAGTATAAGCATTATTTGTCCATTGCTAAAATCACCAAGATTCAACAGAAGTTATTTGCTGATGGATCACATCAGCAAATCTGACTACTGAATAACTGTGTCAAAATCCAATGCCATGTCTCTCTGGGGCTGTGAAAAATACCTTGTTCCCAAAGAAGCTATGGCCTCTAGCTACTGGCTACAGCCACTCCATGTAGGCACATATACCATTCCTGGCCACCGGCACTGGCTTCGGACAAGGCTTAATAACTGTGATGTTTCTGTACCCTTTGAAATCACCAGTGCTTGCTGAGGAGGGCAGCGCCAAGTACCATAAGTATGACGAGATTGACAAAGCGCCCGAGGAGAAGAAACGGGGCATCACCATCAACGCAGCCCATGTAGAGTACGAGACGCTGAACAGACACTATGCCCACACAGACTGCCCCGGGCATGCTGATTACATCAAGGTATAGGAGGATGTTCCCCTCCTATCCCACCTGTCCCCGTACCCGTCTCCTCCAACCTCCCTTCTCCGTCAATTTTCAGAACCCATGCCATTCCCTCAAATCTCTCATCCACCTGTTCCATTATTGGCTTTTCTGCAGATCAGTCCCTTTCCCCCAGATCACTTCTGTGAATATCATTACAGATTGAAACAGCTTCGTACCAAGTCCCAGCTTCTGTCCTTGTTCAGTCGATTGTGTCATTTATAAAAGTCCATGTTTTCAGCCAAAAATAACACCGCATCTGGGACATGTTCATCATGAAATACTACCATCAAGTGGTTAATTATCTGAGCAAAGCTGACTGATTATTCAGTGATTTCACAAAAAATTCCCACTTTTCATTCCTTCCTTCTGTCCCCAGTTTCGTCTTTTTTACTTGAAGTGTTAAGTGTTACAATGAATGACTTCTACAGATGACACGATCATCATGTAAAAGGAAACATTTCAAAATATTCTTCTTTTTTTTTATTTGACTACTGGGCTTACTGGTATTTCTTGTGGCTATTTTCAGAATATGATCACGGGAGCTGCCCAGATGGAAGGTGCCATCCTCGTGGTTGCTGCAACGGACGGACAAATGCCCCAGACACGCGAACATCTGCTTCTTGCTAAGCAGGTCAGGACAAGTCACTGATGCACTGATAAAATGCGCTGAGCATTAAGCACAGTTTTCTGTTTATTGGAGAGTATTTACAATAAGCTCTCACTGATGGCTCCCGATTTAGCTTTCCTTGTTTTACATGGACGCCTTGAAAATATAGAGTTAGTGTCCAACTGCAAAATTGTGCAGAACACTTTGTACCGGATACCCTTTGCTACCCACATTTGGGTACTCTCTTGTGATGCAGAACTCACAAGAACTTCATGGTTTAAGTGAACATATAAGCTTTTATGGGCTAGTAGCATTTCTTTCTTGGGCTGCAGAAATTGTGCATGAAGGATCTCTTGTATGGATTTTGCTTTGGAAATACAACTAACACGAATTTAAGTACAGATTTGTATCGCCTCAAAAAAAAAAGGAAAAAAAATGCTGGCCGGAGGGTATAGTATTACATTATTTGGAGCAGGTTCGTTTTTGCCTTTAACAAGACAAGATGCAGTGCATACCGGGCAAACACTACTCACCGTACACATCCTTGTTAACAATGTTTAATTGCTCGTAAGTGATAACAAGCCTCAGTCGTATTTGAAATTGTTCAGATTGGCGTTGACCACATTGTGGTGTACGTCAACAAAGCCGATGCAGTGGATTCCGAGATGTTGGAGCTGGTTGAGTTGGAGATGAGGGATGTGTTGTCTGAGTACGGCTACGATGGTGAGAACACACCCATCATTATCGGATCGGCACTCTGTGCGCTAGAGGTAAACTATCTCTCCATAATAAAATTTAAACGGAAACCACAATGGAAACATTGAATCTTTCAAGCTGCCATGTGCCTCAAACTTGTCTACAACCATTTCTGTTATTTCAAGTTCATGCAAGAATGTTACAGTGTGAAAGGCCTTACTTTTAAGGGGTGACAAATTTTGCAAAACAGTGAGAATTCCTGCTCATCTTTGAAGTATTTCCTGTCCATATATAGATAGATAACCAGCTTGCTATTTTTGGTGTGTGTTTGCGGCACAGTTTGCGACACAAAAAATAGGTAATATTCTTGATGCATTATTAACAGGGCAAGAATCCAGAAATTGGCACTGAATCCGTCAAGAAACTTCTGGAAGTCATTGACGAGTGGATTCCCCTCCCACCCCGTGACTTGGAGAAGCCTTTCTTGATGCCTGTAGAGCAGGTGTACTCCATTGAAGGTAAATGTTGGCTCGAGTAGCCATCCAAATTACATTTGAGGTTGCATTTTCCAATGTACCTCTGAGGAGTTAACAGATCAAATGTACTTGTCCATAGACAATTCGGGCACACTAAGCACCCTCATTCGTCCTGCAACAGATCCAGAAGAACAGTAGGAATAAACTGTCCTGCTTAAGGACAAAAGGAGAGTGATCACTGGGCTTGGGCCTAAGCTTATAATTAAATTAGACCTTTAAAACTAGTTTTTAGACCTTTAAAACTAGTGATTTGAAAACTAATACGTTGAATAGTTGTAGAGTGTACAAATCCTAGAGACTAAATCCATATAGCAAAGAAAAGATGAAAGATAACAAGAATTGATATGATCAGCAAAGCATTCAGCAATTTCCTGAACATAGCCGATGAGTTTGACAAACTGATGAAGGGAAGCATAGTTTCTTGTGTCTGCTGGCTTGCACTGAAATGTTTTTAATGTCATTTTTTTTCACAGGGAGGGGCACTGTTGTGTCTGGCAGGGTTGAGAGAGGGTCCATTACCAAAAATGAAGAAGTGGAGTTCATCGGTCATGACATCAAGACCAAGTCGGTCATCACAGGTAAGAAGGCGTTTCCTCTGGAAATTGTGGTGCTCCCTAAATCTGTGAAGAGAACTTGAGGGGCGGGGGAATGGGCAGTGTTCCCTGATTGTTGTAGTTGCTGTCCTCCGCAGGTATTGAGATGTTCCACAAGATTCTTGACAAGGGAGAAGCCGGGGACCAGATGGGCGCATTGGTGAGGAACGTGAAGCGAGACCAGATCAAGAGAGGCATGATGCTGTGCAGACCAAACACCTACAAGGCAAACAACCACGTCAAGGCCCAGGTCAGTTGTTGTATGAAAAACCGAGTGCGTTCTTCCTGACCCTCATCAGTACTGAAGCACATTTGTCACACCTAGGTGCCATTGGTGTGTGCCGGCAGCTTTGAGAGTTCTGTCTCATATGTGCATGCATGTATAGATCTTCGCTGGCACAAGTGACTAAATGGAGTCCAAATTCTGTCTTTATTGCGTGTATATCCTTTATTCATGCTTATGAACAACTTTTGCATTATTGGTGGTCGTTATGCCTGATGTAGACCTTGTGTGAATAAATCGTTTTATTTTGGTAAATAACTTGCATCATATTGTTGGATTTGGAAGCATGGGGTACAAGTGAAACTCAGGTGCTGTGTATTTCAAGTGCCCGAATAGGAGTGGTTCATAGCAACCGTCGTTGAAATCAACAGAAGTGAAAACTGCGTCATGTGAAAAGGTTTCCCTCCCACTACTCTGTTACATAGCAGCCACAACTCCTCATCATTGTACCCTGTCTGCACTTTCACGCTGGATGTCGTTTGATGAACATTTCTTCGGTTCCTCATCTTGCGTCGATCTCACTTGCTAAAGGTTCACGACCGTCAAAGTGTAGCAGCCGTTAAAGTGTTAGGGAGTTACCAAGGTTGACTTACCAGCTGAAAGTAAGCCCTTTAGGGTATAAAATGTTAATTGCTTCCACTTTCTTCAGGTTTACATTCTGACAAAGGAGGAAGGAGGCAGGCACAAGCCGTTCGTCAGTAACTTCACCCCAGTGATGTTCTCCTACACCTGGGACACGTCAGCCAGAATTACCTTGCCAGAAGGCAAAGAAATGGTCATGCCAGGTATGCTTACAGACGGTAGCAGGGCTGTTCCAAGCCATTTGGCTCGTCAGGCCAGTGGTTATCTCCACTTTCCTCCTTGTACGGAATGCTCGGGACTCAAGTTGAGTCGAGTTGCCAAAAATTGGGACTCGAGTTGGACTAGAGTCGAGTCATTTACATGAGCCAATACAACTGCGGATGATGTTCTTTTATCTCTGGTTTTGGGTGGTTTTTTTTTTTGGTTTCATTAGGTGAGGACGTTTCTCTGACTTTGGAACTACTGAAGAATATGATGGTTGAGGTGGGACAGAGATTCACCCTGCGGGATGGCCGAATCACCCTAGGCACGGGGATTATCACGGAGATCCTTCCTCAGGTTCAGAAGAGTTAGTGAGTGCCAGATAGCACGAGCCCAGCACCAGTGAAATTTTGTACAATTGTTTTTTTCATTAACGTGTGACCCGGGAACCATACCCTACTTCATAGGATGGTCGGTGTGATGGCACGGTATTTAATATGTTAATAGTAGCATGGCAGGTTTTGGCTTTCATTTATTTGGTCATTTCATAAGGTCCACGCCTCTTTAGTGATGGTTGTTACCAATGAAGATTAGGTGAATACCCTTTTACAATCAGTGATTAATTTTTTTCTGTCGTGGAAACGTTTACACGAGTGGAAACTCAATGAAAGTTTATTTGAGAAAACAGTATCTGGCTTCCGCCTGCATTGCCGTTTTGTACAAGGTGGCGTGTAGGAAAACATACCTGTCTGTACAAGAGGTGACTTAGATATTGTGTAAGACAGTGATACAGGGAATCTGTGAACTAGGTCCAAGTTTGTCATAATTAGTTCAGAGTTACAAGCCCTCGTAGTTTTTAAACATGAAATGCGTGGAAAAAGTTATTTTATCCAGTTCCTCTCCAGCTTTGTTCTTTGGATGCCAGTTACCCAAAACAAAACACAGTGTCGTTTGTCCAAACAAATCTGTCCCGCTTTGTGTAGTATTAATCGTGCACAGTGTAATGGATACTTCAACTATTCAGAACTGCTAGGGTTTATATACTTAAGTAGTAATTTTACTTGCCTCCACAAAATAAGAGGCAAGTTTAAAAAAGGGGTTTTAATTTCACAAAGTTGCAAAGAAGAGTTGTCTCCCAGGAGCTGCATTTGAATCTGTTATCATAGATGCTGCTCGTCACATTGCTGGACATGCTGTGACATCAATTTTGATGAATGAAAACAATTTCACATCGTTGGAAACCTTTTCAAGGTTGTCACGATACCAATTATATCCTCAGGTAGGCAGCAATAATGTGCGTACATGGATATCTTTTGTGTGTACCAAATAAAACAAAAATTCACCAAATTCAACTGATTTTCAGTTACCTAGGCGTCAATTTCATACAAGGCATATAGGCAAGTTCGTCGTATGACATAAGTTTGACAATGGTGTTTTTTAATGGGACACTTCTCCTGAAGGCAATTCTTACATAGGAACCCCCCCCCAAAAAAACCCAGCATCATCCCAGCCGTTTCATTATTTAGTAGGGCATAATTGTTGCCATATATTGCACTGAAAAAAAATCATGATCAATGACAACTAGGATATCCTTTGAAATAAGAGTTCCACTGAAATACAGTTGTGATCGTCAATTGCCATTTCACAAGAATTAAACTTTCTGCCAGCCTTCTTTGCTGGAACACCGGAGTACGTTTTTCATTTAGTTTTGTCTTTTGTAAAATCTATGTAATTGCTGTTTCAATACAGTTGGCAAGTGTTGGAGTGATATTACTTCCTGCTCAAATACGCAGTTTCATCTCCATTTAGGGCCTCCGTTGCAAATGCCCTGTTCCCCCCCCCCCCTGAATGTTGGTCAACCACTCCGTCAGTCGTGGGAGCATGAAGCCATAGGTGCATCCAGTGGGGAAGGCAAACTGGCGCCCGGGAGATATATTGCTATTTATATGTAGCTTTTTTCAAGAAATTGACAGCACCAACTTGAAAACTTCGACAGTCGTTTGTGGGAAACCCCCCATCTCAAGATGATGCCATGATGAACCTCTTTAACAAATCACCCTGCTGTAGGCCTACCAGGAAATATAGCAGAGTGTAACGAAGGCACACTGCATCTTTTTTTCTGTATGTAAGTTAATGAAAAGCTTATGGCATTACGCCTAAACAGACGCAGATGAGTGACACGCATCAATTGCCCTGGAAGAACTTGAACTAGAAGTTGAAGACCAAAGGTTTGGCAAGAACAGCTTTACTCTCGATCGAGCAAGGCTATTTACTTTTCAACAATGTGTGATAAAGTAAGTTGTGAAGATTATCTTGGGCCAAGCCGTGCACCCCTCCATAACTTCCTTGCAGTTTAAATTGCCACATTTGAAGTGGGAAATGTTCCCCACCTTGGTGTTACGCCAAAAGCTGTCCGGTGCCATCTGACTGGGGACATTCATGGATGGGCCGCACTTGGAACTTTGTTCTTCATGTGGCTGCACTAACGTACATTAGATGTCATTGGAAAGAATTCCACAATGCTGTTTTCGACAGTCACAAACAAAAGTTTACCATACTTTTTAAAAACCTGCCAGTCCCTCTTAAGTAGTATTGAACTCCTTTTCTTTGAAAATCTCAAGTCAGAAAAGTTGTTAAGTTTACTGGTTAATTGTGTGAAGCAGAGCTAATTTTTCAAAACCAATCGCAGACTGACGTGCGTCTCTTGAAACTTCTTTGCGAATTGTTGCTTCATTGTTAGATTGCGATCCTCCGAATTTGCTAATTTTCCAGAGTGTGCTTTCTTGATTAAGAGGATTTTTACTGAAGAAAACACGCAATCATGTACAGAACAACCTAATTCAATGTTCAACTTGGAGGCAATATTCATGATCAGAAAAATACATCAAAGAGAGGCTACATGTATCATATGGGCCTATAACCCTTAGTCTGTGATAAGTCCCCCAAATAACTGTCATTTGCCCTAAAGGGATAACTTTTGGGGGATGCCTGTATAAAGTGCAATGTGAAATTCCCACCAGTTTTGCATTTGCAGATTTGTAAGTTCATTTTAAACTGTCTGTTTCTTGTCGGGCTGTTTCTCCGCCGGCTTCCATTTTGATTTTGTGATTTTGTTTGTGGGGGGGTATGTTATTTGTTTTATTTTAGGTTGTTCTTGTTCTTTTGTTTTTATTTTTCCAAGACACAGATCAAACATTTAACTGTGTTAAATGTGGAAGGGGTGGCTGATCTTTAATCACCTTAACAAGACTTATAAACTCATTGATTTAAATCGACCTTAAAACAAGACAACAAACAATTCACATTTTGAAGTATGTTTCAACTTATTCTTAAAAATATCCGGGTCTCTCACATTTTACAGAGCAATCACTACGTGAGAATTACATCTTAACAAAACAACTCATCAGAAATTGCATCTAAAAATATGTAAAGCTAAACTTAGTGTATAGAATGAGCAGTAACGACCTTCTCATTCGTATCCCCACATGTGTCATTTAAGCTCCCGGTTCACAACAAAATCCAGTGAACTGAACTTTACTTAATATTATGCACACTCCAAACGACTTATATTAGCCATGTTTGATTCGATACTTCGGTCAATCAAATCAAACATGGCTAATATAAGTCTTTCTGGGCCAATAGGAAAGGTGAACTTTCCTGCACTGTAAAAAGTAATAATGTGTTTCTTAAGTTCTTACTTGATTTATATATCTTATGATTTGTGTAGTGGTTAAGGACAAACTGAAGGAAGTAATATTTCGGAAATGGTATCATTTGTTTTAATTTGGTTTAAATTCAAATGGTTTCTTTAACATTATTTCTGTACTTTACCATAAAGAAAAAAAATGCCGGGTAAAAGCTTGGAGGTTTCTAGAAATATGAAAATTGGTTTTAACTTGGAAGAACTTGCATCAATTTCTGTTTCTTCTGAATAAAATAAATTCACTGGATCACTGCAGCATATAAATGTTGTTTACAGTAACTGCGAGTAAAGCTCAATGATTCAACCCTGAGTGTTTTCCTTGTGTCATTTTGATGCGGATGTATCCTCCTAGGTGTGAACCTGTGCCTCAGCCCTTAAATGCACCACTACTTATTTACATTTTGTATTTAAAAGTCAAAATCTCTGATATCAAATTATTACTTTATAAGCTACGTTTACAAGGGCAGATTTGTGGCTGGGGTTTTCTTTTTATACACAAATATAAATGTTTGAAAAGCAGAATGGTCAGTTTTGAACGTTTCCAGTTAAAAGGGCTTCTATCTGAGTGTTAGATTACCTCCCCAGCACTTACTCATGCAAGCGTGACTGCCTTTGATTTCAGGCCAAGGGGACTTCTTACATTTAACCCAGCTTGGCCCAAGTAAGTGGCCTGATGAGCTGGTTACTCGGGAAAGAATCCCACAATACAAAGCAAAAACTTGGCAATTTAATTGAGACTGCAAAGAAAAGGTGACATCGTTGTAAATACATAGTTCGGAAAAAACATAGTCACATGTAGTGGCAAATTGGCTCAAGTCCTCAAAGCTCTGTGAAATGTGTGTTCGGATGTCAGTTGCTTTTAATTGTCTGGATTCATTCAGCAAATTTACTCAAATTTAACCTTTTGACCTGGTGAGGGCACTTCAAATAACCTGAGATCATTAGTTTATAACCATCAGTTGCCCATTTCCATTTACACCTGTGAAGAAAGCACAAGCAAACGCAAGGGAAGAGCACACAGTTCATTAACAAGAACTACAGCATATTAACGTCAATGAACCAAAGTACTGTTAAAAGCTAGGGGAGATGCCTGATTCAAATCTGGTTTTCAAATAGTGCATTGGTTGTTCTAGAGGTAATACATGTACATTGTTGCTTTCAAACTTATACAACGCTACATTTTTAATTTCAGTTGAAAAGAGCCATTCTCAATTCAAACCGTGTTGCATTTGTGCGATTGGAGACTTTGAAATGTTCGGTGGAGGCAAACATACTGGTCACACATGACTAGTATCGTACTGACATCATTGTATGCGTCACTTTAAAGATCATGAGCGCATGCTTAGAATGACATAAACAATAGCGGACCCGTCTCGTGGGAGTGGTATGTTTGCTGCAACTAAGCGTCTCAAAAGCCTCTCGTAACACTACGGTGTTACAGAGGAAAGATTTTTCAAGGAACTTTTAAAAAAAAAAAAAACAGCACGGAGGAAGACCTGCATCTGTGCATCGAAACCAGCCTCTAGCACACAGCTGCATGAATCTCAAGGCAGTTCAGGTGTGGCTCAGAAACCCTGGGGACTTCATCACTGTCAGCTTTCAGGTGTCTCGACCTCCGTTAAGCTGCTGCTACTCTGGCTGATATCGCTGCTTATCATCTGCTGGATGTGGGCCCAGATGCAGTACCCCTGCAATGAAGCAGTGATTGGTTTATAGTGGGGGGGGCAATATTGGGGTTTGGCAGGGGGGGGGGGGGTTCAACGGCCTGACTGATAAATTGAAAAAATTGAAAATTGAAAAAACTGATAAAGCATTCCATACAGGATGCTTACTTCACTCCAACTTTACTCCTGTTTTCTTCTCTCTGGCTTCCTCATTTCTTACGTCCCCTTTTTTTTAACTTACCCCGCCCCCTCACAATGCCCATATTTCAAAGTGGCGGAGAGAAGCAGGTTCTCTCTTTTGTTAGTCGGAGTCAGAATTACTCGGTTGCAGTTCAAAACCATGCTTGAGCATGCGCGTCACTAGCACTTTTTTTTAGGGTGGGAGGGGAAGAACCACTTCTTCAAAGGGGAAGATTTCTGGGGGGAATGGTTACGCATTTATCAGCAACGAACTGATAAATCATAAAACAGTTAACATGGGTTAATTTTGAGGATTTTTCAAGCACAACTGTGTTTAACGTCACTTTTCCTCTCTTTAGTATGGCTTTTCTCCCTGTTATTTTTCAGGTGGCAAGAACTCTGCCCAATGCCCATGTGGATGAATCGACGGCTGTGGCCACCTCTCATAGAGTGATGTATACCTTCAGGCCACAGTCAAGCAATTTGGACATGGTCTTGAACTGCCTCTATTTCTGTTGTACTGTTACCTCAACCACTGAGCAGACGGCCCGTCCCCCACTGAGGACAGCGATGCCGATGTACTGCATCGTCCTGGGAATGAAGACGCTGGACCCATAAAGCCCAAAACGGCAAACGTAGAACCACACAGGAAGCAGATCCAAACTCATGATGGCATACATGCCAAGTAGAGACTTGAAATCTGAGCAGGAACGCAGAAGAGACAAAAAATTCAATTTAACATGTACTTCTGGCAACACAGATTAATATGCACGCTTCGAGAGACACAATGGTGTGAGCTAATCAAAAAGGGCTACAGATACAGCATTTACTTGGGATGCATTTCCATTTGGGGCATTATCTGTAATGAACTTTTCTCCATCAAACACACGCTGTGCTTACTCATTTAGAAGTTGGCTGCATGCAGAGTGCATGGCCATGTCCAAATTTCTTGGGGAGAGTTCAAGCTATAACTATAGTTCGATTTGATCAATGTTGCCTGAACAATGGATGGTTTGGACCATAAAGTCAACCACTGGAACCAGGTGC